CACCATGAGAAATCGGCCCAGAGGGCATTCGCCATTTTACGGATGATCCGACACACCTTCTCCCGTATAACTCGCACGGACTTCCAAATAATCTATGGGGCCTACGTCAGACCGCTCTTGGAGTACGCCAACCAAGTTGTCTACTCAGGACGTACAAAAGACGTCACCCTCATTGAGCGTGTCCAGCGGGCCGCCACTAGAATGGTTGCAGGCCTCAAATCCGTGGACTACGAAACGCGTCTCGCGATGCTTGATCTCTTTCCCCTAGAGTATCGTCGCCTCCGACGGGACCTAATTCTTACTTACGGCCTGTTCGAACAAAGCTTGGCAAACAGGGTTTTTACCCCCAGCACAGCAAACACCCGGCGAGGACATAGTAAGAAAATTTTCAAGCTCAGGGCACACACATTCATTAGACAAGACTTTTTTTCAGGTAGTAGCTATCCGTGAATCCGTGAATCCGTCCCGCTATTCAACAGGTTCGCGCGTACTAAGAATCCCCGGAGAGGATACCCGGATTCCATCTCCTGGAACTAATTTAGCTAGAGACTTCGACGTTTTTGTTTGCAGTGATCTCGATAATGGAACAACCGCTAATAAGCAAGAAAAAGACAGGTTACTGACAGCCTCTGTCTGTGATATACAGAAGGTTTCGTAAGCAGGCCTGGAATGTTGTTCCGAAAATGTACAACTCGTGGTGCCTGAGGTCACCAACAGGATCCGAGAGGTAAGTGCAGCTGGAAGAATTGAGGCCATGACAACCTGAAGGAAAAAGAATGAGAATGAATGTTTCGAAGTCCAGCGCGGTGGCGCCTATGGACAATTGTTTGGAGACACGGAGGTTGAACCACCAGAAACAAAACATTTCAGGTATTTGCGGATACTTGAATTGGGCTATCGTTTCAGGCAGTAGCAGTGTGTAATGACAGAACGTTTAGATTCGGGCCCCCAACATGCATAAATCATATCGCCTACGCTCCCTCAGGGTTGCGGGAAATAGTGTGATGACACGGCTGCAGATATATCGCTAGAAATTTCGAAGCGATGCTCTTAACACCTACACTTACAGGGCTCCCTGACGTATGGTATCTGTCGCTTGAATCCTAATTTAACATGACATACATCTAAACCGCGGATAAACACATGATCAAAACTTGTTCCGGATATTATTGCTGGACTCAAAATGCGATATTGAGACGAATGTGCATCCGACGGACGACTTCAGAAAAATGGCTACACGGAGCGCGGAAAAGCACATGACTCGCTAAGAGCGCGAGAAATACAAATTGCGGTTTAATTACGCGGATAAACGAAAATGGATGCAAATAAAGTCACTAAGGATAAACCGAAATTCTGGACGTGACGATCATGGGAAAAACTTGAGGGAGCACGTGGCGTGCGAAAATCTTTCTTTGGGTCCCCTGGACGTATACGCATGTAGTAACAGGTAGCAAATAGGAATGAAAAAGGGAGAAATGAAAAAATGAACGATGAGACGAAGCGGAACGAAGAAGTAGAAGGAAGCTGACGAGAGGGTAATAGCAGAAATTGAGCTTCCTAATCTTTAAACTTCTACCCAACGCAGCACAGTGGTATTTCTGACCTTCGGAAAAGGGTCCGGACGAGATGTGGCCATTGACCTTAAGGCCCTTGCTCCATGCGAAGCCCGAGTGCTAACTTAACTATTGTTTTGTTTATTTATACCACCGTGAAAGGTGGTGACGCCACATTTTGACCCGCCCAATTTGTACTTACTGGCCATGGAGTAAAAGCGTACGACCTTTAAGTTTATTCCGCGTTTTGCGGGCCTTTCTCGTGAGTCTTGCATTGAATAGTGTACATACATTGCAGGTTCACCATGCGTTTCTCACTGCTTTTTTCACAATGCCCCCTTACACCCCTGTCCGTATCCCATGGATTTCATTACATACCAACTCTTCGAAAGTCGCGCGGGGTCCCCTACGTGGGACCCAGAACCCTTTAACTTTGATTTACAAGCTCACGCACAAGATCGCAAATCGGTTACCCGCGGTGAGAGTTTTTCTGATGATGCATATGACGGTAAGTGTCTGTGGCGCCTTGCTCATCCAATATTATAGTTTCATCATGCACCTCTGTTTCCCCCTTCGCATCTGCATCAGAGAGTTCTTTTCCCTCCGAAGAGCTCGATGTTCCCGTTGAAGTTGTGGACTTATTCGTCGACTATGCAGTAAGTTGCCGCCACTTCCTCTGATACCCTAGAATACCCCAATCCAAACATGCACCACTATGTTAAGCGAACAAATGGTATCGGCTAAAAGCGAAGACCACGGGTCGACTGGTCCTCGTTCAGTCTCCCCAGATTGCAGTGACCACTCTCTTAATCAATCTTGCGGCCCAGTCGATGGTACCAGACAAGCTCTACGGAAGAAGGCGGCGAATCGTGAAGCGTCGTTCCGGTATCGTCAGAGGCTGAAAGCACGTTCACTTGAGCTAAATTCTCAGCTGGATGACGCTCTTGCATCGTATCAGCGTGCTCGTCTAGCCTACGAAAAGACTGAGCAGACGTTTGATGTCTTGCAAAATTTGGTGCTTAATTTATTAGCTTCTAAAGAGTAGACTCCCTTGTTTTGCCATAATGTGGTCTTTTGTATTTTGTACTGAAATAAAGTGTTTGCTTCCGCGTTATCAGTTGCCCGCTAATTAATCACAGTGGAAAAGTCTGAAGCTCGTTTCTACGGGTCATTTCTGTGCCTCCTGTGGGTTCCTGTCGTCCGTCCCTTCTTGATTAGCTCGGGTATCGGTGGTTTCGAGAAGTGATTTTGACAGGAGTGTTCACTGTTGATTTCGGAGCCCGGATAGAAAACCTATGCGACGCCCGGCATCTCTCCTCAGGCCCGATGGAACTCGGTAGCAATGACACCTAGCAACGGGAAGGTCCGTGGTTCGCTCTCAACCATGGCTTCTTGGCTTCTATCTAGGCTTGGCTACTCTAATGGTACCTCGTCTCTTGTATTTCCTTCGGTTGATGTGGCATCTAGGCACCGAACGGTGGCGTAGCTGACGACGGTAACATGACCATTTCAGCCGCCTGACCCAATATCTACTCTTGATATGAACGAAAGCGCTCTATGATTTTCAGGGAAGTGTGTCCAGCTAAAGTGATGCTGATCACCAGTGGTTTCTCGGTACGGGAGTTTGTCGACTTAATTTACAAGAGACTTATTCCCTATCCATTGGTGGACGAACTATGTGATGTACATGCGCTTTCTTTGTTTTCCAACCGGCGCGTAAACTTTCGACGTGAATCCTGTGCAAACCACCTGTGAGTGGATTTGTTTCGGGGAACAAAAGTCAGCCATCTGTAAAGTGAAAGTCGCCTCTCCCAATCCTAATGGAAACTATCAGCGCATCTTAACCACAGGTCAGTTGTACGATTTTTGTCCAAGTTTAGCAAGTTTAGCTTTTGTAAGTGGTGGTACTGACCGTGATGACTTAGTACTTAGCTCGGCAGTCTATTGAGTTGAACTGGGGAATGTTTTCACAAACTCTACCGCTGGTTTTGTCAATAGTTAGGAGCCTGGTAGTCAGTCCGTTCTTTCCACAGATTTGGTGCTAGAAATACTGTGCAGAAATGACCACTGAAGAATAGGCTGCTAGTTTAATCCGACGGCGCCCAAATTCGGAGCCAAAGGCCCCATTCACACCTAATCTTAAGCCCCCTTGCAGTTTGTCAATCTTGTTTCGGGCACTGTCTCCACAAGTAGTGGTGGTGGTTCCCATTTGAGCATCACATGCTGTCAGTCGCCCGATAGCATCATACACCACATGACGGGGGCAGCCGGAAGCGCAATATCAGCCCCTCATGCTTCGCTTATTGACCACTTGTGCTAATGTTAGCTGTGTCAGTCGGGCTGTATCCGTTATCCAGACCTTATTCCGTACATACTTCTGGGCGTGTGAGTGTGTGTGTTAGGCTATCTTAAGGCTTACTCACAAAAGCTAGTATCCGACAAAACATCCACTACTTTTTGTTCAACTTCGTCATCGGTGAATTAATGAGGCGAGCACTAGAAGGCTTCCGAAACCCCGGTGTTCAAATAGCTGTTGGTGGGAACGTTATCGGTCTTGAGTACCCAGACAATCTTCATCTTTAAAGACAACGGCCACGCACAAACTTTCCTTAATGAACAGACCACCATGTCATCTTTCGGCAATAGCCTTGCACCTTCAAAGTACATTACCACATCCCATAACGTACTGTCTCGGATTAGGGCCTTCAATCAAAGCCTTTGGCTCAAAATCTTAATCGCATGGCAGCGGTATTTGGCGGAAGATGTAAATGCACGGCCATTTTTACGGAACAAGTCGCCGCATGTTCGAACTCCCAACCTGGAAATCAGGAGACTATGTTTGTCAGTCCTCTAACCTTTGGCCAACCTAGTATGAGAGACTAAATGTCGCGGGGACACCTCCAACAGCTCGATGGGTCGGTGATTTACGCGAACCGTCAAACCACGGCAAGGTCCACTCTCTTCGTGATGGCCTGCGTTGCTTGACAGTTGTTAGATATGGCCTTTGTGGACAGATGATTCGAGGCTATTGATTGCCGATGCCTCAGAATTATCGATAATGTCGGATGGCGTCAGCTAGGCGAGCTAATTAGGGAAAGGATAATTTGTTCTGGTGTTTCAGTCGCGGAAAACATCCAACATTTCAAATGTGTTGGTCATGCACGCCGAAACGTCGTCTACCGAGGCGAGTTTTGCTCTACGTGCTTCCAGAGTGGCGCAGGCTGTGAGGTGAAGGGTCTTTGGAATGCTTGTGATAGGTCAGTACCAAGTTTTTCCGTCGTCCACTTTTCACTTTAAGACATCAAGTTTAGTCAGATGAACTTTTTGTTTGTATCGCATTGATGTATCAGTACCGACACTGGTGTCACTGTTTCTGGTGGTGACGGGTGATGTTTTTATTGTGTTTCGGGCACATCTTTTACCTTATTGGGAAGCGTTCACTGAACTTACGACAAGACCGTAATACAGTAAGTGAGCTTTGGGTTCCCGTTGCTACGTATCGGCAACGGTAATTTCTGTGATGAAATGGTGGGACCTTCTCGAGCTGAGGTGTTCGTGCCTATTAGATACCATTGAACCATCATCTCCATGCCGTTTGTCCCCCTGAATTAATCCTCGCATTGTCGGAAATGTCCACCACTCGTCATTAGATTTCACTTCTGCTTATAATTCAATGAAGGTCTTACTGGGTACCTTCGGTTCAGCTTTAACAGTTGAAATTGCTGCCCATTCGAGTTATAAATCTCAGTGGTCGGTGGACGGATGCTACTAGTGCGCCGAGTTTTCAGTAGTCTTGGAACATAGCTGTTCTTTGCCAGCCGTGATCTTATCTTTGATTTTTTATTTATCCATTACGGGAAACATTCGAGGCTTGATGTTAAATACAATCCTCGCGTAGCTCAGACGTATTCACCGACTAAAGTTGTTGGAATATTTCCACGCAATCAAGCGCGAACATTTACTCCACGGTGCATTACAGTGCGGCATGTCATCAACTATTACGGTTGCACACCATCACCTGAAGCGTTTGCTGTTTCGATGCAGTTCGTTTATATTAACTTCTTTGTAAACGGTTTTCACCTTAAGGAGACTATTATCCAGTTAGCATAGTGTGTCGACCACGTCACTGCGCTTCACTAGCTTCATTTTTTTTCAGGATTGGAGGTATCAGTTACAACAATATAGGGGTGGGGCCTTTGGCTTCTACAAGGTACAGGGCTGCTGGAACGGAGGCTGATAGTTTAAAGCCGACCTTGGCCTATCGATTAGTACCGTTCCTGACTGGGTAACCTGGCGGTATCTTCGTGCCTCTTTTGCGTCACGAAGTAGCTGAACCTTACCGTTGTGTAACGGTTTGTGCAACTAATTGACCCTGTGACATTCGCACGGTCTGTCATACTAGGATCAGTCGCTAGGTAGAGGCCACAGTCTCATCCTCCAGGTTGGGATTCGGAACATGTCACCTGTGTTTCTTAAAAGTGCACTTTAGTGGTCCCATGCCCCTTATCTCTGGTTTGCGGTCAGGCTCTTTAGCCAGAAGCCTCAGTTGAGGACCACAACTCTCTCCATTTCTTGATTTTGGCGCATTGTCAGTATCTCACCACTAACTTTACGCATACCAATAATTTCATGCCACATCAGCAGACCCTACAAACAGCATTTTAGGTAAAAGAAGACAGGCCACTGCTGGCGCCTCCTATCTTCGGAATAACCTCTTAACGCTCTATGCCGTTAAACCATCACGATTTTGTAGATCTCAGCCGTGGCACCTCAGTATTGCTTCCGAAGAAGGGACTAACAGCGGTTCGCCAGTGACATCTGCTGCTTCACGTCTGCTTCTTCGACTTCCTCTCTCTGTTTTCCTCGCGACTTAATATTCTAGCCCTGAAGCAACTCAGCTGCTCTTGACGCTTTATTAATAGATGTTTCTTGTGCTTCCGAAACTTCTATACAAGGTTTATGTATGATTATGAAGCTTTCGGCAGCCTCGTCATTTGGATACTACCACCCACCTACTGCTGTAGCGGTATGCGCCGGCGTTGGTATGGCTTTCAACTCGCAAGCTGATGCCTTACTCGTCTGGATCCCTGTAGATAACCGTTTTCGCGCTGCTCGCTTGTCAACTCCCATAAGAACCCGCACTGGCTGAAATGATGCCCGTTCTGCATCTGCACCAACCAGTTGTACTTCTCATTCAGTTAATGATACTATGTTTGGAGAGCTATCCACTCATATCCCGCACGGGAAGCCTAAATGTTGTTCTAGTCGCCAGCGATTTCGCTTTATATGTGAGACGTCCTGATTCATCATATACGCACCTTAGTGACCCGTTCTACTTGCACTGTAGATTAAATGGTAGTAGTTATAGTTTTTCTCAGCTTTGTACTCATCTTTAATTGCTTCTCAGTAGTGTAGAATCCAGACAGTAGACGACGTTGCTGTGCCTGGGGTTTCTATACTGGGAACCGTGGAACCAGGTTGACCAACCATCAGGGAGGCTCTATTATTGACTGTCAGTCTTTCTAAATCACCCAATTCAGCTGCCGTTGGGCTTCTATCTGGTTTAAATTTTTGATAGGAATGCTAATGCATTTCCGAATACAAATGTGTTCCAGCAATCTGAGGCCTTTGCGCGAAAAATATTCTGTGAATTCAC